GCATCCCGGAGTCGGGCTCGACCCGCGGCGGCGCGGCAGGTAGGAGGCGCTGCGCAGAGGGAGGCGTGCGCGAGGGCGCGCGTGTTCATGTGTGTGTTTCGGGGGGGTGTGTGCGGGTGCAGCGCGGGCCATTGTGAGCACCGATGTGAGGGATACACATCCCGCAGGCCAGGGAGAAGGGGGTGAATGCTGGCCTTCAGCCCCGGGGGGCGGGGGCCCGGAGGATCCGCCCGGGCTCCCGGGGTTCGTCCCCACCCAACCCCCACTCCGCTGCAAGGGGCCTCCCCGGCCCCCTCCGCCACGCCTCCAGGAGTTCCGGGGGTTTCCTAGTTCAGACTCCGGGATTTAACCCCCGATGTTTGACCGCCTCTTCTTCACAATTGCCCTTTCCCGTTCCTTTCCCAGCCCTCCACCCATCAATTCCATAACCTCTCCTGGATGCCCTTTCGAACCACTCCCATCCCCTGTCCCAGGTGGCTTGGGAATGGGGCAAAGCAGGTTCCCTTCCTGACATTCCTCCCAGTTTGAATAGGGGCCTTTTTCCTGGGCTTCTGGGCTTGGGTGTGGTGTGAGGGGCGGGGGAGGGGGCGGGGGGATCTGGAAGAGAGTGGATCTTGGGCTTTTCTGATCCTCTTCCGCCCTTCAGAGTTGGGGGTCTGGGGATGACAGTCCTAGAGTCCAGAGGTGAAGTAGGATAGATCATTAACAGGTGTCAAGTTCTCTCCAGGCTTCATTTTCTGTGGTGGGATTCGCCCCTCCCCTCCCCCCAACTCACAGGGGTGAGGAGAGTGGGCACAGAGCGGTGAAGTGCTACTCTCATGGCTGTTGAGCCAGAATTTGAACCAGAATTTGAACCAGGCTCTCAAACCAGAATCTTCTCCCTGCACCTGCAATGGAGAGAGAATTGCCAAGGCCAACTGCTCCTTGGATTCTAGAGAGGGGAAATCTGAGTAGACTTCCTGAAAGAGAGGGAGTTTAAGGATGGGGTTCAGCCTAGCCTTGAGTGTGAGGCCTTCTGGTGGAAACACTGAGTTCAGGTTCAAGGATTGACACCCCCAGGGTCTTTCGGGCCTGGTCCTGCTCCAGTCCTCAAAGTCCTGGGGCAGTGGGAGACCTGGCTGCTTTCCATGGAAGAGGTAGGGGGGCAGCTAGGGTAGGCCCAGCTGCCGCTGCTGCTTCAAGCCCGGTCTGGTGCCAGGTGCTTAGGCGGGGCATGCCCTGAGGAGCCGCTCTACTGACTGTCGTGGTGGATGGGTCAACAGATAAGCCCTTGCCCAGGGTTACACCCCTTGCTGAGAGCCAAGATGTGGGCCAGTCCCTGCCTGGTAGCTCGGGGAGATTTCACTGCAGATACATGGGTGCTGGGTCTCCAAGGATGAAAAGTTCATCAAGCAGAAAAGAAAGGGCAGAGTACTGCAGGCCCAGGAAATACATGGGTAAAGGCCTGGAGGTGTGAAACTGAGTGAGTCTGTGGGGAGGAGCATTAAATATTTCTGCACTCCAGACTGATCATCTGGCTGCTGTAGTGGGTGGGTCTTTATGGAGAGCAGTGAGGAAGAGGCCTGAGCGAGAAGCCCTCTTCCTCTCTCCCTTCTCTTCTCCCCTCCCCAGCTGTCCACCTCCCTCATTGGGGTTTCCATAACAGGTGGGGGTGAATGGGAGATGCTAAGGGGTTGCACAAGGCCCCAGCTTGGGGAATAGTGGGGCGAGGGAGCCCTCTCTGACATGGGGCCACCGCTGGGGGTTGATGAGATCTGGGAGAAGATGACAAGATGGGACTTGACATGGTGGTTGCAAGAGGCCTGTGGGCTTTTGGGATGACATCCAGGATGCTGCTGTCAGACCAGTGCTGTCTCTGGCTGCTTCTGCCCCTGCTTTCCTCATGGGCTCTCAGGACAGCTCTGAAACCCTTGTCCCTGAACGGGAGGGCCTCCTGGACCCCCGGTGGGCATGGGGAAGCCTCTTTGCGGACCCCTTCTACCTGCAGGGTCATTTTGTCTAAGCTTCTTCCTTGCTGAGACTGGCTCCACACATGACCTTAAGGCAGAGAACTTCCTCTGTGAGTCTCAGTTTCTTCTTGTGAGAAATGGGCATAAATGCTGCCTAATTGCAGGGATTTGGGGAATGATTAAGTTAGTGTCACTAAAACACTTTACTAGTACATGGTATTTGGTAGACATTATAGTAATTAACAATCAGCATCACTTAGTCCCTTCTTCCTCTGGTAAGGGACAATCTAGAGGAAGGAGGGGACCACTTTCGGAGAAGAGAGGTGAAAGGAAACAGGGTCTCCCACTGAAGTGGAAGCTCCTCTTGGTAGCAATGGTTGTGACCTTCTCAGACCCCTCGTGGGTGGTCTCACTATTTTCCTGACCAAGTTCCTGGGCCTCCCAAAGTCTCGTAGCCTCTAAATGTCATAACAGAAAGCTCAGTGGGCCTTAGGCTCCCCCAGCTTCAAATGGTAGGTCTGCAAACCTCTCCGTCCTAAGCAGTTCCCCCAATGTCTGGGGCCTAGGCAGAAGTGGAAGTCTGCCTGTCTGTAACTGGTCTTTCCA